GATAATTTTTTAAAGAGCCTTTTGGCAAAATAAAGCACATAATTATTATACTACATGGGAATAAACAGAACTTTCCTCAATATGATACATAGTATCTATCTAAATCCAAGAGCTAATTTTTTTATAATTGAAAAACACTAAAAGCCTTTTTAACAAGATTAGTTATAAAATAAGATTTTCCATTATTATTACTATTATTTGATATATGTCTAGAAATGTTAGTAATAGTAAGATAGGAAAAAAGAAATTGAGAGAATTCAGATGGGCAAAGTGAGGCAAAAATATCTCTATTTGCAGATGATACAATCATTTACTCAAAATTCTGTATTTGACAAAAAATTAATAACTTCAGTAAAGTAGTATGTGTTAAATAAACTCACAAAATCATCAGGTTTTCTCTCTATTACTACCAAAATCCAGAAGGAAGAAAGAGAAAAACAAATTCTATTCAAAATAATTGTTAAACAATATGTGGGAGTTGACCACTGAAAAATACTGTTGACTTTTACACCTATAATTAAAGAAAAATTTACAGAAATAAAAGAAAACAAATAATTGAAGAGATAGTCATTGTTTCCTGGGGTATACTAATATTATAAAAATTATGATATTACCTAAATTAAGATTTCTCATTGTACCAACCACAAAGGGACTACTTAATGGAACTAGACAAATTGTTAATAGAATTCAAATGGAGAAACAAAAGTTCAAGGATTTCAAAGGAATTAGTGGGAAAAAATATGCAGCTGGCATGATCAGATCTTAAACTATAAAGCGATAATCATAAAAACTATTTAGTACTGATTGAAAAAGAAAAGTAGATCATGGAAACAGACAAAATGAGCCAGACATAGGAACAATAAAAAATGGTAGCCTAGTGTTCAATATATCCATCAACACATCTGATGTTAAGGCTCCTTAATCAGTTAATAAAAATTTATTTATGTATTTTTTGGTGAGACAATTGGGGTTAAGTGACTTACCCAGAGGCACATACTAGTGAGTGTTAAGTGTCTGAGGCCATATTTGAACTCAGGTCCCCTGACTGTAGGGCCGGTGCTCTATCCACTGCACCACCTTGCTGCCCTAGAAACAAGCATTTCTTAAGTGTGTACTGCGTGCCGTGCACTGTGCTAAGCACTAGGAGTTACATGAAAGGTCAAAGAGAGTCCCTGCTCTTAAGGAGCACAGAATCAAATGGAGGAAATATCGTGCAAACAACTATGTACAAAAAGCTACATACAGGATAAATTGGAAATAATCAACAGAGTGAAGGCACTAGAATTAAGGATTAGAAGAGACAGAAACTCTGGGGAACAGTGGAAAGTGATAGAAATTAGATTTAGACCAACCTTTTATACCTTATGCCACAATAAGTTCCAATAGGATATAGGATTTATTTTTGTTGTTGTTTAGTTGTTTCAGTTATATCTGACTTTATGACCCCATTTAGGGTTTTCTTGGCAGAGATACTGGAGTGATTTGCCATTTCCTTCTCCAGCTCATTTTATAGATGAGGAAACTGAGGCAAACAGAGTGAAGTGACTTGCCCAGGGTCACACTGCTACTAAGTGTCTGAGGCCAGGTTTGAACTCAGGAAGATGAGTCTTCCTGACTCCAGGCTGGGCCCTCAATAATGTGCCACCTCCATGCCCCTCATGATCTAAACATAAAAGGTCAAATTAAAACAGCAACAACAACAACAACACCTAGGGTGCGATGAAAGGAAATACTTTGCATAATCATGGTGAGGGAGAGAATTCTCAACTAAGTGAGAGACAAAGCTGATCATAAAAGGTAAAATAGATAATATGGATTATATAAAATTAAAAAACTTCCGCATAAACAACATCAATGTAGTTAGAAGAGAAGTAGTTAGTTAACAAGGAAAAATATCTCTGATAAAGGCCTGGCATCCAATCTATATAGGGAATTGATACAAATATGTAAGAATGAGATCCATTCCTAAAGAAATATATTAATCAATTAATAAATATTTATTAAGCTCCTACTATGTCCTAGGCACTGTGTTAGCTGGCCATACAAAAAAAGGCAAAAAACAGTTGCTGCTTTCCTAGAGCTTGCACTCTAGTGAAGGAGATAACATGCAAACAGATACATACAAAGCAAGCTATATATCAGATAAATAGGAAATAATTAATAAAGATAAGGCACTGGAATTAAAAGAGGTTGGGGAAGGCTTAAGATTTTAATTGGGACTTAAAGAAAGCCAGGAATGTCAGTTCTTGAAAGAATAAATGCAAGCCATCGACAGCTATATGAAAGAATACTTCAATTCAATAATAGTAAGAGAAATGAAAATTAAGGTGACTCTGAGGTTTTACCTTATACTAGGTCTTGACTTTTGTCTTGCCACTGCACTTTGATGACTCTGGAAGAGAGAGCGAGGCTGACAAATTTGTACAACTCCTCCCCACTTAAATCCAGTTCATGAGCAAGGCAAAATATCACCCTGTGATGTCAGTGGTCCTCTTTGAAAACAAAGGATGAAGAACAACCACCACCATGCAACAATAACTTTATATCAGTCAGATTTGAAAAAAGATGATAAAAAATGGTAAATGTTGGAGGGGCTGTGGGAATACAACAGGTATACCAATACATTGTTGGTGGTATTGTGAATTGTGACAATCATTCTGGAAAACAATTTGGAATTATACAAAAAAAGTCATTAAACTATCCATCCCCTTGACCCAATGATACCACCCTTAGGCATACAGCCAAAAGATACCCCATATATACAAAAATATCTATAGCAGAGCTGTTTGCAGTAGCAAAAAACTGAAAGGAATGTAGGTACCCATTAATGAATATATAGTTGAACAAAGTGTAGTTGGATGGTTGAATATAAATTTAATGGGATATTATTGTGCCATAATAAATGATAAATATGCAGAATTTGGAGGAACTCTGCAAGAATTGTAAGAAAATGTAGAATGAAATAAACAGGAGAACCACTTATACAAAATCTACAATTATACAGAGGAATACAACATTGAAATACTTCAGAATTTTGAAATACAGTAATCAATTGTGACTTCAAAGGTCCAATGGGGAAGCATTTCTTTCCCATCTCATGAGAAAGAGGTGGTAGACCATAGCTATGGCATAAATAATCCATTTTCAGACACGGACGATATGCTGATTCATTTTGCTTATGTGTAATAAGGGAGGGAGATGATCATGTCAGTTTTAGACATATTGATGTGGCATCTCTGTGAAGATGTGGAACTGGAAATTTAGCACTAGAACATGTGAGAGATTAGAGCTTGATATTGCAGTTTGCTTATTTGTTACAAGGGAAAGTTCTTTTTTTTTTAATAGTATTTTATTTTTTTCCCAATTACATATAAATACCATTTTAACATTCATTTAAAAAATGTTGAGTCCCAAATTTCCTCCCTCCCTCCCTACTTCTCCCCACCTCAACAGTAAACAATTTGATATAGGTTATGAATGGGCAATTAGGTAAAACATATTTCCATGTTAGTTGTGTTGTGAAAGAAGAAATGGACCAAAAGAAAAAAATGCAAAAAAATAAAGAAAATGAAAACAGTATGCTTCAATCTGCATTCAGACTCCATCGGTTCTTCCTTTGGATATAGATAGCATTTTTCATCATGAATCCCTTGGAATTGTCTTGGTTCATTGTATTGCTGAGAAGAGGTAAGTCATTCATAGTTGATCATTGTGCAATGTTGTTGTTACTGTGTATATTGTTCTCCTGGTTCTGCTCACTTAACTTTACATCAGTTCATGCAAGTCTTTCCAGGTTTTTCTGAAATCCTCGTATTCATCATTTGTTATAGCACAGTAGTATTCCATTACATTCATATACCACAACTTGTTCATCCATTCCCCACTTGATGGGCATTGCTTCAGTTTCCAGTTCTTTGCTACCACAAAAAAAAACTGGTATAAATATTTTTGTACATATGGGTCCTTTTCCCATTTTTACAATCTCTTTGGGATACAGACCTAGTAGTGGCATTGCTGGATCAAAGGGTATGCACAGTTTTATAGCCCTTTGGGCACAGTTCCAAATTGTTCTCCAGAACAGTTAGAGCAGTTCACAACTCCACCAACACTGCACTAGTGTCTATAGGAGAAAGGTCTATTGGGAAGAAAGAATAGTCATTGGGAAGCAATTTTTAAAAAAAGTATCAATAAAAGTTATTTTTTGAAATGAAAGATAGGCTGGAGTGTGAGGGTCTTTAAATGAAAAGCTAAGAAGTTGATGTTTTATTTTAGAGGATATAGTGAGTTATTGATGATTCCTGAGCAGAGGAGTAATACAATCAAACCTATGCTTAGATCATTACTCCTCAAAACCCTTTCATAGCTGCTCCCTATTAAATTCCTTAGCCTGGTAGTCAAGGGCTTCAACAACTAGATAAACGCTTCCCTGCATTTCCAGTTTTATCTTTTATGACAATTAAATTCAAGAAACACATTAAATGCCTATTATGAGTCAGGCACTGTGCTGGTCACCAAGGCAAAAATGAAACAGTTCCTGCCCTCAAGGAGCTTATATTCTTTTAGGAAGAGCACATGTACTCAAATGGGTAAATGCAAACTATGTACAAAAACAAATACAAAATAACTTTGGAGTGGGGGCTGGTCTGGTCATTAACAACTGGAAGAATGAGAAAAGAGGTGTTATCGGAGATGGCACTGGAGCTGAGCCATGAAGGGGGTCATGCATTCCACGAGGAAGAGATGAGGAAGGGGACCATTCCAGGCATGGAGGTTAGAGATAGGGAAGAGTAAATAGTCTAGTCTGGCTAGAAAGTAGAGTGTGTGTAGTACTTCAGGTCTTATTATCACCCTCATTTTGCAGATGAGAAGACTGAGACTCAGAGAAATTAAGTTCACTTGACTAAGGTCATACAACCAGCAAATCACTGAATCTCAGAGTTGGAAGGAAGCTCAGAGGTCATCTAGTCTAAACTGTACTGACACAAGAATCTCTTTTCCAGCATACCTGAGAAGTGGCCATCCAGTCTCTGGTTGAAGATCTCCAGTGAAGCAGAATCCATTATGATCTGAGAGCTGAAATGGGAGGGACTCAAGATTCAAACTCAGTTCCCCCTGCTTCTGATTACAGTATTCTTTCCACTACACCATATTTTCTTTTATATTCTTTCCCTTGGTCATCTCAATAGCTTTCATGGGTTCACTAATCACCTGGATGCAGATAATTTCCCATATTATACTATCAAGCAGTAAGCTCTCTTATGTGTGCCAATACTGAATCGCCAATCTGTATCTCCACACAGATGCCACACCAACATGTTTAAAACTAACTTTGCCACCTCCTCCACCCAAACCTGACCCTCCTTCAAACTTTCCTGTGTCTTTTGACGCCCCCACTATCATATTAGTGGCCTAGGCAATTTTCTTAAAACAGACGTATTGGGAGAAACCAACCAATCAGAGAAAGGGGTGAAGGAATCTTCAAGGGGTGAACAGGGGTGAAGGAATCTTCAAGCCTGAGAAGGTTGCAAGGGTGGCAGCATCTTTCAGGGTGAGAACAGTGCTTAGAGTAGTGGATAAAGGAGGCTGAAGAATGAGGAGAGAAATGAAACAGAAGTATCAGTTGCTCTCAGGGATTATTTTGATTTTTTGGACTTTAATTATAGAAGGTATTTACACATGCACATTTCACATATTTACAGTTCTTTTCCCATACCAAATAAACCAAGAAAATTTCCTAAAACATCCCACTGATTGCATATATCCTTTTCCTATAAACACACTACATTCAAACTTTCATTGTTTTCCCTTCTCCTATCTCTCCTTCCTCTTGTAATGTGTTTTCCTCTCCTTACATCTAGATACTCTTTTGCCTGAGTACAGACAGCAGCATTTCTGCCCTTCCAGCAAGTCTTTACCCCAAGATCCTCATTTTTTGTGCTTCCCCTTTTCCCTTTCCTTTTACTTAAATCTTCTAAGAGTCCAAGTTCTTTCTTTATAGTTGTTGTGCACCCACTTCTTCCCAGCTCCCCATAATCTTGGGCAACTGGTGCTAAAAACCTTTTCCTATGGTACATTCAGAGACCAAATGTTGTTTTGCTTCCTCTTTTCTCATGCATATTTTATATAGGCGCTACCTCCCATGCTCCAGGACTTTCACTGGGAAGAAAAGCAGATCAAATCATTATCTCTTTCTCTCTTCTCTCCCTCTCTTTCTCTTTCCCTCTCCCTTTCTCTGTCTCTGTCTCTGTCTCTCTCTCTCTCTCTGAATCTGTGATCTCATCAACATAGGGGATTGAAGGGAGCACCTTCTACAGGAATTCTTCCCCTTGTATGTGTCCTGAACCCGTTTGGCAGTTTGGTGAAGCCTAGGGACCCCTTCTCAAAATCATATATTTAAATGCATAAAATAAAACACATAGTATTATAAAAGAGACAAAATATATTGAAGTAAAATTATAAAAATATTTTTAAAAACAATGCTCCACAGACCTCAGGTTAAGAGCCCTTGCTAGCCTCTACCAATGCAAATAGGTGACTGTTTTGCAATCATAGTCTTCGAGATCTTCTTGAGGTGCCAAGAGGTTAAATAACTTCTAGGGGGTCATTCCAACAATACTGGTCCTTATTCAGTCTTCAGGTCCACTCTGTCTACACTCCCTCAGACTTCCAATGAGGGTGTGGGACATGGTAGAGAAACAAAGGAATGAATATGGTTGGTTTGAACACTTCTTAAAATGGGGAGGAAGAGGGAAAGGGAGAGGGAGATGAAGAGAGAGGGAGGGAAGGAAGGTGGGAGGGAGGGAGAGAGAGAGAGAGAGAGAGATGGATAGATAGACAAGCAGTCAGACAGACAGGTAAAGCATTTAGTAAGAACTCACTGTGTTTCAGGCACTGTGCTAAGTGCTGGACATACAAATACAAGCAAACAACATAGTTCCTACTAATCCTACAGGTAGCTTCCATTCTAATGGCACAGAGGGGAACTAGAAAGGGGAGGGGGATGGTACTTGGGCCAGGACAATACAGTTGTTGAGGAGAAAGAGGAGAGGAGGAAGATGGAGAAAAGAATCATAAGGAAAGTGAAGCATCTTTTGGACACCCTTCATCCCTGAGTAGTGGTATGGGCAAATATTCACCCATTAGGAGAATGGGATGAGGTCTCATGGTAGAGATTTCCCTAGGATGAGAAGGCAGTTGGTGAAGAGAAGAATTTTTTGTGTTTATTCCGTTCATATTTTACATATATGTCTATACCTATATTTAGAGAGAGACATATATCTGTGTATATATGTACGTATATGTGTATGTATATATGTGTACACACATATATGTTTATGTCCGTGTGTGTGTATGTATGTACTTCTCACCCCCTTGGGAGAATGTAAACTCCTTGAAAATAGAGCTTGTTTCATTTTTTCTATTTGTATCCCCAATGCCTATTAGGTGCTTAATAAATGCTTGTTGATCAATTTATTGATTAGGCACCATCTTCCCTAACAGTGTATGTTTGGGGGCATTATGAACATGAACCATTTTGTCAAACCATGGCATTTGGGTTTTCTTCACTATCCTCTGATGTTTTTTTCACCTTCAGGGTGAAAGTCAGGGTGGGAGTGGTAGTAATCACTCTGCCAAACATTCCCTCTATGATCTTGAATTTTAAAATTGAAATCCTCCCCCTTCCCCATCATAAACTCCTGTTCTACTCTTCTAAACTAGTCTTAAAGAAAATATGTCATTCTTTGATCCATTCCTATGCCATAGTCCCATCCTGGCTTCATTTTTATTCCTTTCACAGTTTTTCTGTGATTTGCTCCCTTCCTCCTTTGAACCCCTCACTATGAGCAGTGCAGTGGTCATAAGTGAAGTCACGAGACAGGGCAAGCCATTTCACTTGCCTGGGCATCAGTTTTCTCAACTGGAAAACTGGAAAATGAAGGGATTGGACTCAATGACTTCTTGAGAAAACTGATGCCCAGGCAAGTGAAATGGCTTGCCCTGCATCACACAGGATCTGAAACAGAATATGATTCCAGCTCCTCCTAACTCCAAGCTTAGCACTTTGTACACAAGACTAGACCCACATCTTCAGTGTTAGAGGCTGAAGTCATCCTTCTCTTTGAAAAATCTAACTCCTCCCTCTGGGTCCTGGAGCTGTGTCCTCCTCCTGTCTCCTCTAGAATCTTGCTCTTTCAACCATCTTCACCTTCTCCATCATCTTTAGTTTCCTCCTCTTTACTCATACAGTCTACTTGTAAACATGTGCCCTTGTTCGAAAAGAAACAAATAACTACACAATTTTCACCTTTCCTTGATATTCTTACCTGCTCTAAATATCATCCTTTCTCTTCGTCCCTTCACTGCCAATTATCTATGGCTCTCTTGTAGCCTTTATTCCTTGCCTCAACGTGTGCAGGTTCCTATCAAAAGATTTCTCAGGTGCCATTCCCTCCTGACTCCTCCCATGATATTTAGCTTGATATAAATACAAACTATTTTTATCTTTGTATTCCCTACCTACCATAATTCTTCATACAAGAAGCATAAAAAATGCTTCTTCAAATAAGCTGATGTCCTACAGTATTTTTTGTTTCAAGTATATAGAATAGTAACTATTTATTTACTTGCTTATATATGTATAAATATATATGAATATACTTATTTATTTATTTTTAGTTTTCAACATTCACTTCCATGAGATTTTGAATTCCAAATTTTCTCCCTATCTCTCCCCTCCCCCTACCCCAAGATGGTGTGCAATTTGATATAGGCCCTACATCTACATTCATATTAAACCTATTTTCACATTAGTCATGTTTGTAAAGAATTAGAGCCAATGGGAGAAACCACAAGAAAAAAAACAAAAAAAAGGAAAAAAAAAGAGAGAGCAAATAATATGCTTTGATTTACATTCAGACTCCATAGTTCTTTTTCTGGAAGTGGACAGCATTTTCCATCATGACTCCTTTGGAGTTGTTTTGGATCCTTGCATTACTAAGAAGAGATGAGTCTATCAAAGTTAGTCATTGCACATTGTGGCAGTTACTGTGTACAATGTTCTCCCGGTTCTGCTCACTTCACTCGACATCAGTTCATTCAAGTCTTTCCAGGTCTTTCTGAAACCTGCCTGCTCATCATTTCTTATGGAATAATAGTATTCCATTACATTCATATACCACAACTTGTTCAGCCATTCTCCAACTGATGGGCATCCCCTCAATTTCCAATTCTTTGCCACCACAAAAAGAGCAGCTATAAATATTTTTGTACATATGGGTCCTTTTCTCATTTGTATGATCTCTTTGGGATACAGACCTAGCACAGGTATTACTGGGTCAAAGGGTGCCCTACAGTGTTCAGTCACTCACTAATAACCATGACTCTGGGTGAATGCCTTTGCCTTATCTGTAAAATGTTGGGATTGGACTAGATGTTCTTTCAAGTCCATTCTAGCTCTAAAATTTAATTTTTCTATGACTCTATTCTCCCATAAACCCTTTTGGCTTTTACCTATACATAAACTCTTCTTTTTTTCCTATATTTCCCCTTCTGATGATTGTCTCTTTTCTTTTTTCCATCTACCTAAATTCTACCCATCCTTCAAGGCTCAGTAGAACTTCTGCCTCCTCAATGAAGCCTTTGGCTATTCCATCCCAAAGACATCTTCTGATTTTTCAACTCCTATAATACTTGTTGTCTTTGCTACCTCTTTAACATTTAACCAAGAGAAACACACACACACACACACACACACACACACACACACAGGTCATATGACATCTCTTCTTAATTCTTTTATTCATATGAACATTAACTTTTTTGTGTATGTCATCTCTGTACTTATAATAATAAATAATAATAGCTTGCATTCATATAGTACTTTAAGGCTTGTATAGCACTTTAAAAATATCTCTTTTTATCTTCACAACAAACTTGGGAGATAATAGGTGCAATCATCCCCATTTTACAGATGAAGAAAATGAAGCCGCTTCAGAGTGAAAGTCAGAGCTGAAGTGGTAGTGATCACCCTGCAAACATTCCCTCCACGATCTTGAATTCAAAAATTGAAATTCCCTTCCCTGACCATAGCCAGCAGTTATGATAACTGGCCCAGAATCACACAGAGAGTGGATTTGAACTCAGACCTTCCCCATCCAACACTCTATCCACTGTACCACCCAATTGTCTCTCCTTGATCTTGGACAAATCCCTGCTCTTGGACTTCATCTTCTTCATCTATACAATTTGAA